AGTTACTAACAATCTCGCAGGGAACAAACCTTCAACATGTTCTTCAACAAGCTTGAGCCCACCCTCCATCACATCTTCCCAGGCAGCGTCAACACGGGAGAAGACGTTGTGGTTTGGCAGCTCCTCGCTGCGGTTGGTGTCAGTGCCAACCCTGAGCAGCAGCAACGCCTGGTCCTTGCTGTCAAGGACCGCGTCCTCGACACCGTCGCGCACGCAAAGACGCTCCCGGGCGCCATGGCAACTACTCGGTTGGCCACTGTCAACCTCTTCATGCACTCCATTGGTTTGGATGTCGAATTGCTTCAGTAAGGGGATGTATTAGTGGAAGAGAACGTGCAATCGCGGCGTTCATTGCGCCATTCGCGGTTGGAGCGCATTACAATTGACTGAAGAAACGCGTTGGGATGTTTGGGATATAAAGGGTCTTATGACGCATGGCCCGTGATTTTTTGAGGGCTTTGGGGTCGCTGCTGAGCTGTAGTACTGGGACTGCAGTTTGATGGAGGCTTCAACATGCGACGATGGCTTGTCCCGTGGCAATATGCACAAACATATCTTGTGTAGAATACGCACACGACTCTATGAGATGGCGCCGCCATATGAGTATCAGGGGTGGGTCGAGACCAGTCTTGCTAGTTAGAGCAAAAGAAAATCTGCATTTGAAGTTTAAGCAAAGTCTCATCTTCTCTGAGTGACCTCTCTATAACACCGTAACGCCTGAGCTATGCAAATCGAATCCTCTGTCGAGTAGACTGACTGTCCCTTATGTGAGATCCATGCTTGAGGATGCTTGCGCAGGCGCAGGCGCAGCTCTTGCTTTGCCTCCACGCCGTGCGGCCACAGCACCCCGTGCCTTGGGCTTCACCTTGCGCGCCTGCTCTTGAGCAGCGGCCACAGCTGCCGCCTCAGCTTCCATTTCCGCCTTGGTCGGGACCTTTGGCTTCTTGATACCGCTGACAGCCTCCAATAGCTCGTCGTCGCCCCATTTGGTCTCCAACCTCGCAACCTTGTCAGCCAGATCCACCACGGGCTTCTCCTCCTCGGCCCCGTCAATGGCGGCCTTCTTCTTCTTTTCCTCGTCCTCTTCGTCGGCTATGGGCGCAGGCTTCTCTCCGGGAGCGCGCATGATGAGACTCTCCTGGTAAATCTCCCAGGCCGCCTCGTTGTCCTCGTCCGTGTACTTTAGCTTGCGCCAGTTCTCCATCTGGACGGAGCGGAGGCGGTCGGCCATGGTTTCGCTCTTTGCGGTGGCGCCGTCCTGGGTCGTCTTGATGGTCATGTGGATCGCGCGCGCGGCGGCCGATTGCGGGCTCGCGCCGCCTGCTCCCCCGGGCCCGCCTGCTGCCGCGGCGGATTCCTTGGCCGCTGCGGCGGAGGCGTTGCGCTCTTGTTGGGCTACGGCGTCGACGTGGTGGAGTTGGGGGCGGAGGTGGACGAGGTTCGTCACGGGGGTGAGGTGGAGGTCCTCTGAATAGGGGCAGTTGTGGTTAGTAGACTGGAAGAACATGGAAAAGGGAAGCGAGACTCACTTCCTTGGAAGACGCCAATCATGTACTGAACCTCCTTATGGTCGGGACATTGACCGCCGAGCGTCTGCGTGCGGAGGACCTTGTCCTGGCGCACCGCCTCGGGCCACTCGAGGTACAAGTCATCCTCCAAATCGACGTCGCCGCGTCTCTTCTGTCTAGGCGGCGGCGCGCCGACACCGAAGCCGCCAGACAGGCCGTGTGTGCCGCCGTTCTTGGACTCGAGACTGGCTTTCAGCTGGCGGCCCCACTTCATGCCCTTTTCCTTGTCGTAGGATTGAGTGTAGTCGAGGGGCACGTCGACCTCGACCATGCCGGAGCGGCCCTTGAGGCGCATCTCGGTCGGGGCGGTGGTGCGCGGGTCGGTGCGGTTGGGCTGCTGGAGGACCCAGAGCTTGCGTCCCTGCGGGAGGGAGGGGTTGAAGAAGACGTCGTAGGAGGCGACGACAGGGTCTGGGTCGAAGGATTCGTCGATCTCGGGCTCCATTGTTGCTGTCGGGGCGGTCATTGTTGTGGTGTTGGTGTGAATTGGACAAGGTCAATTCGTGACTCTTGTTCGCCCGAGATGTGTGGTTTGAGGTCGGGAAATTTTTGGATTGCGCCGGTGAGTCCTTACCCCACGGCGGGATGGACGTCAGCGCTTATCGATAAGAGTGCTGTAGCTCACCCTTGTCCGAGGTGGGGGACGACCTTCTTGCAGCTCCTTTCTTTGACTACCTACACCTTCGTTCCCTCGGAGAAACACAAGTTGACCTAAGGTGCATTAAGATCATAACTCTCTTTGCCAGTATTTGTTTCAATGTAAAACAAGACAAGAATCTGATCAACCCATCGAAGTGCACCAATCCTTAGATGGACGGAACTTAATTTGCCTGGGAACGACTTAGCTGGAGAACCATACCTCGATTCCACCAATGTGGCTCTGTAACCAACAACAGCAAGAAAGAGCAGCACCCGTTACATCGCCTTCGCATTTGGTTTATCACCAATGCTGCAGATTCAAACTCTCTGGAATATTGTAGGGCAGACTCAACACTATGGGGTCATCTGCCGCGTGAATAGTCTGAAGAATCTCTCTAGTTCCTACTCCCCGGCACGACACCTTGTGCTTCCAGCGCTGGACGTCCAAAATTGTACGTCAGTCACATTGGCTATGGATAACAGGTTCATACCCGTATCAGCCGGTGCATTGGCTTGTGACTTTATTGCAAGCACACCCTTGCTTTGCTGTCGAAGGTGTTGCGCTGATCTGTTGTGGTGAGGTTGGGTCGTGGCGACTGGACATAACGCGCCGGCCTTATGAGAGGGATGCAGTTCATGCAGTCTCCTTCTCATGGGTTGAGCCCTACAAACGAATCAACGGGTTAAATCCTGACTTTTAGTTGATGGATAGCTCGCGATCCTTGGACAACTGGCAACGCTATGTCGCCATCTAAACTGGTTCGGGCTAATATTAAAGTAGCGCTGATGAGAGACACTAGCAACCACATGAAGACTTACACGCAACCCAGCTTCACGCTTCCTCATCTACTTTAAGATTCGAGTACAGCCCGTTGGGTGAACTTTGCAGAAATGTGACCCAGCATCATTATGACCTTGCATGGAAGCCATCGATAGCCCCAGATGGCGGCCGAAGTCCCAAACTCACTGAACTGGGTATCTTTCGTGACGGGCATTCTCTCCTTCGCCCTCACCACTCTCAACTTGATAGCCCTTTACGCCAACTTCGTTGCCACGATAAGATCTGCCCCAAACGAAATACGAGATTCACTAGGAAACCTCAGACAACAACTCTGCGAAGAACGACAAGCCCTCCGGCACCAGTCTCGAGAGATCCGCACAAAAACGAAGCTGCGCCAGCGCATCTTCAACCTGAGCGACAGAGACGCCAGCCACGAAGCCCGCTCAGCACTATCCTACGCGGAGCAGACGCTGCCCCTCCACTACCTCACCCTCCGCGACCTCTGGCGCACCTTCAAAGAGCTCGAGCGGCCGTTCCTCATCGCGAGCGGGTACCGCGCCGAGGCCATCCACAACGGTGCGTCGTGGGGCGAGGCGGATCTCGACGAGAAGGTCCGGGCCGATTTCGAGAAGCACGGGGAGCAAAATAGTTTCGCGGACTGGAGTGCTATTTACAAGTGCGACTTTGCGCACCGGTTTATTTGGTGGCAGATCAAGGATGATGTGAAGAAGCTCGGGGACGAGGTCATGCGGATCATGGCGAGGCGGACGGAAAGGGAGGTGACCTATACGCGCATGATGGTGAAGCAGATCTTCCAGGGTGATGGGCCAGCGCAGATTGTTGACGTCCGGCCTCCGCGACGGCCTCCTGGTGGAGGGGGTGGCGGCGGTGGAGGAGCCAGGAGGCGTATGAGTTGGGGATCTGGGCCTGTGAGGCGGAGTCCGATTCCGATGAGACGAAGTCCTGCTCCGGTCAGGAGAGCTCCTGTACCCGTCCCTGTGAGGACGCCACATCACGATCGATCCAAGAAACACAACGAAAGAAGCTCGAGTTCTTCCTCCTCTACGAGCACCGGCAGCAACAGGGGCAATCAGGCGACGAGACGGGGGATGGATGTGCCGAGACGCAGTAATTCGGTAATCAGCGAGCATAGACACAGTCACCCAAAGAGCGACGCCGCTACTATTGGGAAACATCAGCGTCGTCCGAACCATCAGCCACAGGCGGGAAGTAGTCGATGGGAGCATTTTCGCGGCAGGCCTTCGCGGCAATATGATCTTAGGGAGTACTTTGAGGGTCGGGGGCGGGATCATTCGAGGATCATAGAGGTTATTCCAGAGAGTGAGATTGACTACTTTTCACCCCGGTCGCGGCACAAGAACGACGGGAAGTGAAGCAACTGCTTTCATAATTTGTAGATTAAAGACAGCTTGAAGAAATCAATGTCTGTGTTCTTGAATTTGTCCCGCAGATAACAAGCCGGCTTTCAACTGAGCCGTGGACAAGATGGGGCGATAGGATCCAAGTGATCAAGGCTGATAGATAATTCCAGATGTCCGGTAATTCGAGATGGAGGGGCAATGATATAACCGCCACAGGCTGACTGGCTGATGTTTCTTGGTCTTTGCAGACGAAGACCACTCGGTGAATGTATTGTCAAGTCTATCATCTAACTCGTGCGATATCTCGCTAGTTTCTCATTGCCGCCAAGATCCCTTGAGCATCCATTGTGGCAGTACAACTTTGTGATCACGCTCAGAACCAGCCGTCTTGTTTTCTTCATTTCCAGAGCTCAGTGTCCGTTTTGCGTCTTGAGCGCCCAACAGGCTCCTCCGAATGTCTTCGGCTCGCGCTAGGAGGTTGCATTTTCTCTCCGAGGGCATAGCCTGAATTCCGTGCGACTGAATCCACAGCACAAGTTCGTAGAATGTCATCAATGTGAGATCGACTACGTCGGCTGGAAGCTGACTTTTTGATCTGAGATACGTCCTCTTGGCGGAATCGAAGGTCTTTCAGGGGCGGGACTGATCCCTTGGCACATGAATGTGCCTTCGGCTGCATTTGCTGCAGTGCTTCGACATGGCTAGGTAAGCGCCTGATGGCACTTCAAACAGGGGCTCCTCGTCTAGCAGACCAGTCGATGCATTCCTGCACTCCCCGCAGACGATGGGAATAGTCTCTAAATCGCCTTTCGAGATGTCCACATGCCTCCAGAACTCTTCATAGAGTTGGAGTCCAAGTCTCCCCATTTTGCTATTTTTGGAGCTCTTCGCGTACGACCTCGGACCGTTTATCAGCTGGTTCAGGGGGTCACAGATGTTGAGCCCGGCCCACGAATGAGGCTGGACTTCACAATCTGGAGGCAGCCTCAAAGCTTGCTCGCTCGGCGGCAGTGTCCGGAAGATGAGGGCGGCGTACTCTTCGAAAATGGTCAAGAGTAGCTGTTGTCGATCTTTTTCAGTCTCGGTGGCGGGCTGTCTTGGCAGCTGTGCAAACTTGAGCCAGGCATTGTGTGTTCTCCTCAGAACCCAAAAGGCCACATGGCTTGAGGGCAGCTTTTTATGGTCTCCGATGTTTCGCTCGGCTTTTAGTCTCTGCTGGAAGCGAATTCGCTCTCTTGTGTGCTCTCTGATGCGTCTTTCGAGAAGCTGCGACTGGCCAGCATATATACCGGCAGTACCATTCTAGTTGCAGATGACATGAAGATACACTGCCCAAGGGCAAGGGCCGTCGGTTGGACATTCGTACTTTTTCACCCGAAGGAGAGATTCCAGACTGATTCTCTCACCCTGCAGCATGGCAAGGATTTCAGGGTTGATAACTTCCGGTATCTTGGACCGAAGACGGCTAGGGCCTCCCGATTCCCGGACAAAAACGTCGCCTCTTCGAAATTCTTTTAGGTGCTGAGACCTCAAAGGCTCGTGAAGGCCATGAAGAATTTGATCGAGAATTCGTAAGTATTCAGGCATTTTACTGCGGTTGGCTGCGCCCGACTATTATCAAGAGTCAGGCATCTGGAAATGTTTTGCGATTACTGTGACTAAGCCAACTTACGGACGATGATACCTGAGACCTTTGCGTCCATTTTCGTGGACGGCGATGATCCACAGCGTTCTTCGATAAGATACTACTAGACGTGTCTGCCCAAAGACGCAAGTATTTGTACCCAACACATCGTATGAGTGGCATCCTTAACACAAAAGTACCGTCATGCAACATATTGATGGGCGCAGGAATCGATTTGGTATAGCGGCGAGCCCGTGTTGTAGCATTTCGGGCTATTGCAGTCCTGAAACTATCAATATTTGGAGAAAGTCCTCTATGGATGTAAGGTCAAGGTCTTAGGGCGGTCATTGAAACGACTGAGTAGACAATACAAGTCTGGATCATAAAAGTTAAGCCATGGCACCCGGCCTTAAGACCTCAATCTTTCTATTTCAAATCCGGCGGGTTGCCCTTCACTTCTGATTTTAGGTATAAATACGAGTTGCAGCCTGTGGGAGAATGAATGCACTGGAGAGCCAAAGTACTGTATATAAGTCTTCGTCCTATGAGATCTAAGGAACTTGGTCTTGAGAACTGAGTGTCTGGGAGACCCGTTTCAACGCTGAGAGTAAAGTGGAAGGAACATGTTGTCTTCACCGCGACAAAGGATCTTTCCCCTTACGCCGAAGCAGAGAGATGAATGTCTTTGTGCCGTTTAGAGTCGAATGGCCGGGGGTTAAGGGGGAAAGTAGTCTGAACTGCTTTGCATGAAGCTGAAATGGAACTATGGAACTTGAAGATTCTTTCTGGATATAGTTCAATCACAATAATACTCTAGACAGTAGAGAGGTTGAAGGAATGTCAGCAACAAGGGATAGGACTGGTGCCAGGGAGGTTCTCGTGTACTATATCACCCCAATACTGCGACGTTGAATGGGATGTACCTGGGTGCTCTTATGGGAAGTTTTCGGTACAGAGGAGAATCTGTCCCCCTATTTTGTTTTCGGCCATTTGAGTGCTAGCTTCTAACTTCAGTAGACCGAGCATCAAAAGTCCCTCATCATTTCTGAGCTACACTCCGGCTCCTGTACTCCTCGGCAATCAAGGCTTGTCTTGGAACTTCCCAAAACCCTCGTTGCCAGCAACAGCACTGTCATTCTCCCCAATGTCCACAGACTTGACACCCGAATGCGCATTATCCGGCTCGCCAGTCGACTCTTCCTTGACCGCCTCCTTCGCCTTCTTCTTCTCCTCCCACTTGAAAGCAAAGTGAATCCCAACAAAAATGACGGCCGAAACCAATGCAAAGGCAAGATACAGCTTGGCGCCGATGCGCCAGTGTGGGGCCTCGGATGCCGGGAACGCGGCGATGGGGATGAAGGCGCTCATGATGTAGGCGAGGACAGTTCCGCTGGCGAAGAGGACGGTGCGCACCTCGGGCTCGCCTTGGAGGTGGGCTGATGCCCAGGAGCATAGCAGCATCGTGGAGACACTTAAGATATTTAGAGTGGTAATCATGGGGCCTTGGTTCAGGTTTGACTTACGCTCCGATGTAGTTCATGTACCAGCCGGCCATGTAGGCTTGTTGATTACTGGGTCTTATGATGAGGATGATCTGTGAAGTGATGTTGATGACCTGCGTGATATTAGCCAAGCAGGATGAAATCTAAAGATTCAAGACAATTACCGAATGCAGAAGCAAGAATGGCAGTCGAACTCCAAAGTAGTCGCTGAGGCCACTGAAGAGCAGCTCTGCCACGAGTTGGACGGCTTGGCCGATGATGGGCAAGTAGTTGAGCATGGCAACAGAGCTGGAGGAACGATCAGCACGATCTTTTAGTTCAAAGAGCAAGGCGAGTACTTACTATTTGACCGATCCATCTGCGTTCTTCAAAGACTTGAGCCACAAGTTGAAGTAACTGGCTGGCGTAAAATTACCGCCAATGGGCCACGCGACTGTGGTGCACATTGTCAGTATAGGTACTCGAGATTATTTCAATCCAGCACTCACTAGCAAATGCCCAAAGTTGCCAGAAGCTGAAACATCGCACGAAAGACTTGATCGTGATGCCAATTTGTGGCTTGCGACCGACCCTGCGAGCACGGGCGAGGGCAATCTCAATATGCTTCGGCTTCAAGTAGAACTTTGCCAGGGGATTTGGGCGTTCGGGCTTTTTCATCGGTTAGCAATACTGTTTTCGGTACCTCATGAGAATCCAATTAGGGGCTCGAAAGTACTCACGTAGCCGGGAAGAATGAAGAACGCAGCGAGAGCTACGGCTATGGTACAAACACCCTAGAAAGAGGTCAGACCAGTAGAACTGAGTACCAGCTACAAGATTTCCGCTGTGACTTACATTGATGATGAATGCCCAGCGCCAGCCAGAACGTCCATGTAGACCCTCAAAATTTGTTGAAAGCGCCCCTTGCATCGCGCCCGAAAGCATCGCCCCGGCCGGCTGAGCAATGTTGTACAGACTCATGCGTAGGGCGACCTCGTGGGGCATGTACCACTGGCTGATGAGGGTAAAGTAGCCTGGCCAAGCTGTGCCCTCAAAGAAACCAATAAGGAAACGAAGGCCGTAGACCTGGTTAGAAGTCAGAGATGAGACTTAGTGGTGGTGGTTCGGGATTGTGACGTTGTACCTGTTTCGCGCTGGTGACAAGTGAGAGGCAGCAGGTGAGGATGCCCCAGATGAGCTGTGATGTCAGTTAGTAAGCCGCTACTTGAGGGGCCTCTGTAAAAACTGACTTCACATGCTGGCAGCCATTTCGAGGGGCCAAAGTGGGATATGATGATGCATGAGGGATACAGCATAATCATGTACCCGATGCTGCACACAACATATTTGTTAGAACGCCTCTATGATATAGAGTGGAAATCATTAGCTCACTTGAAGAATGTAGTAAAATAGTTGAGCTCATTCCCCAGAAGATTGAGGTCCTCCTTCATTCCTGACACATATGCATTGCTCTATAACACGTCGGGTCAGTACTTTCAGTTACCAGACGGCATGAAAACAGATCTCATACGATATTCGTCTGATCAATGTATCTATCAAAGGGTGTTAGCTTTCAGTCTACTTGGCGGCAGCTCAGTTCACACTCACTTAAACATGTAACCCAAGAAACCAATTGTCAGGAAGAACAAGTCCAGGCGCCAAAGCTGTGCACCAGTTTAGTAACGGCGCTGAATATTTATATCATACCGGAAACCTACGAAAGCCCTCTCGTCTTTGGGATCAATATCATCCTTTGGATTGCTCGCGATCGGAGTAAGAACACCTTCGGATCCAGAGTTGATGCGTCTTTGCGGGGCCGGTGGCAGCTGAGCCGCGACTGGGATTGGAGTTTGCTCTGGAACGCCCATATTGGTTCTCTTGCAGTCGAATGACAAGCTGCAAAACCTTCATGTCTTTTTAGAAGCAGAGTCTACGAAAGCAAATCCCACTTCGCGTCGAGGATGAAATCTGACTATCACTTGCCGATGTACTTATACGAGCCATCAAGAATTTCCTGCGGCAAAGAGCCGCGAATCCTCCATGATGATATCAAAGTCAGAGGCGAAGACGTGCTCCGCGTGGTGTGGTGTGCTGGTGGAGCATGCCGACGACCTCGGACTGAAGGGGATTGACTACGATTCACGACGTTGCATGCTATCCGTAAATGGTTCGAGGATTACACCTCAGATCTGTATTGTATGGAATTTAGCTCATTCGAGAGTCCTTCGTGGCTTTCAGTCGGAGACTGTCCGTCAGTCAAAGTAGCGCCGGCTATTTGTGCCGAAATCCAGAGGGGCGTTGCCGGCAACCTTGCGACATTGACAGGGGAGAAGACGTGATACGCCCAACGCAAACCACGGCCAGATAAGGACCAGCGACTCTCCACACATGCCCCGTGGCCGCATTCTGTGGTTATTGGACATGTAGTTCTTCTGTCGCAATTCCACCGCAATGCATTACTCCTTGCGGCTTCTTGCACGTTCGTGTCGGCGAGAGCCCGACGCTCAAGGCTTAATGCGCGATCGAGCAAGTGTTCAGCTCGCAGGCCCTTCTACTAGCAACAAGGCGTCACGCCTGTGACTATTGGAAGACCTTTCACCTCCCTTGCCCTAACTGTCAGGAGGTAGTCTGTAAGGGGCTGTACGCTGAGTTGACAAGTCGACAGCGTAATAGCTCCCGGGTGGCCAAGTCTACCTCTTCCGCAAGCGTTGGAGTCTGTGACTGTCAAGTCTGAGGGGCTTTCGATGTCTTCAAACATGGTCTGAACTGTCATTCGCTGAACTTGGCAGCAGAGTCGTGTTGCGAGTTTTGGCGGCCCTTGTTACTTCAAGAGAGGGCGGCAAACTTGACATCGTTGGTCCAGTGTTACCGCATCGACGTTGACTTTCACTAAGCACGGCATCGGGGAAGAAAGCGAAGTGGTCATATCTTCATGAAAAGTAAGAATCTTGAGTAGAAGGTGGTGAAGTTGGAGGCCTGCTTTCTTCGATCCAACACTCGAAGAAGAGTGGTCCAGCTTCGACGGAGCGAAGTGGTGTGGTAGAGGCCCCTCCGATGCTTGGGCCTGGTACCGGGTTCATCTTTGAGGCGGGCTGAAGCGCGGGTTCAGAAGGAATCCAAGGTTGAGGGTGCTGTACCGAATGTCAGAACACATGAAGCTGGCGAGGAGTTAGGAGATGTGATGCCTACCCCTATCGGCGCGGGCGCTTCGTCTCGTAGTTCCACGGCCATGGTAAAGGTACATCCCTCTGGCAATGGCCCCTTCATCTCGGCAGCATAGGCTAGACGTCTGAGGGCTCCTCTGTACGCCTCGTTCACATCAACCCAGTTCACCGAGCCGTCATCGTCGTCTTCCTCACGTCGCTGGAACCTCTGTGCCTGGCCGAGCTTCTCCTTGCCCTTGCCCGTAGCCCAGACCGGGAAGTTGGTGACGTCAAAGACCCATCTCTCGACGACAGCCATTGTCTCTGCAGCATGAATAACAACACAGACTTTTGAGACGGTGCCAAGTGCAAGCTGGTCCTGTATCGCAGCCAGTGCCGAGTTGATCCATTCGCAGAGGGCTGGATGGCGGGACTGGGGTACTGGCAGGTTGTGG